ATTTTAATTTTAAATATACATGACAGTATTAATAATTCACCTTACATATTGTATGAATGCATTTATATTCAGATTAATTATGTCTAATCCATGTTATCTGCTTGCTAACATATTCAATGTATGTGGACCTTTTTTATAATGATTGGAAAAGGAACTTAGATATTTTATTCACAACGTAAGGGTACAAAATGTATTTAATACTCCTATACTTAATTCATTTACTTTAAGATACTTAATGAGATGTTTTAGTGAGATTAGATAGGGCGTATGCCTACGTACTATGTCAAACTTGAACACCATCAAGATAGCCTAAGGAACTCCAGTATGAGATCGAATTTTGGAAAATGATAGTTTATTATTTAAAAATGAGCTGGAGATCTATAGGGCTGACTTGGGTGGTAAGTTTCAAATTGACATGATTATTGCCTTGTTACCAAACTGGTTCGGCTCTTTTAGAGTGAACTAAATAAGGAATTAATTTGAGTTCACACTCGCTGATATTCTTATAGAATTGGTAACAAATAAAGGGATAATCAAAAGTATAGGCATTCTTATCAATCTAATCTAGTCTATACCATCTTCTTCTAGGCCCAAGTGGAAGGGCAAAGTAAAGAAGAAGGATGATAATAGGACTAGGCTAGCACAAAACATAGGTATCCAAAAAGTTAAAGGGAATAAGGCAGTGTATGTTGAGGGCGAAGAAAACTGTTTCTTTTGTCGCTAACTAAAACACTAAAGGACGAACTGCCTAAGCAATGACGTGGCATAGAAAAATATATATTTAATCAATGAGCCATGTTATGTGGTTGCATCTATTAATTCCTGATGGATAGATTCTAGAGCCACTAAACATTTTTACAATTCGTTGCAAGGATTTCAGGAATCCAAAAGCCTTGATGATATGGAATATATTTGTACTTGACCTGATGTCAAGGTTGTAGCTAAGTCAGTGGGAGTATTACATATGAAATTAGAGAGTATTAGTATTAGAGAACTATCTTTATGCATAGAAGTTAGACGCTATCTAATTCTTGTTTCACTTGTGATTTATAAAAACTGGATTGTTATTTTGTAATATTGGTTTTATAAAATTGAATAGATATGCGATTACTTCTGGTGCATTGAAAGATGGTTAATGTACTATAATCACAAACTCTTAAGATTTGCAGGATATAGAAACTAATGTTGCATCTTCTAGATTGAATGTTAAAAGAAAAATTGTTATTCCTGACTCATTGTATTTTTAGTGTCTATTATTGGGTTGTAATCAATCAAAATAAGATTCAAAGATTGGTCAAAGAAGGTTTATTACCTAGTGAGGCAGAGGAGCCTAATCCAAACTTGTGAATCCTGTTTTGAAGGATAGATAACTCTAAGGGCTTAATCAGCCAGATGAAATAGACATAAAGGACAATTGGAGTCGGTGCACACAGACACGTGTGGTCTTATGAACATCCAAGCAAGATTACTCACATTTTGGATAAATTTATCTGATGCAACACAAGTCTTAAATTTTTGGTATATTCCAAAAGTGTTAAGACTGACGTGGAGCACAGATTAGGTAAACTTATCAAAACACTTCGATCTGATCGTGGATATGAGTATTTCTTGGGATAGTGCAAAGACTATATAGTCAATGAGGGTATTGTGTACCAGTTTTCCGCAATTGACGCTCAATGGATTGAGGTGTCAAATAGGAATAACAAAATTTCCGCTTAACATGGTTAGATCTATGAATTGTTATGCTACATTATCTCTCTCATTTAAGAGTTTAGCGTTAATGATATCGATGCACATTATGAATTGCATTCCATCTTAGTCTGTCTCAAGGATACCGTTTGAGCTGTGTTTTTGACTAAATCTTAGTTTAAATCACATGCACATATAGGGTAGTCTAGCACATGTGCGCTTGATATGGACAAGTAAGTTGGAAACAGATCATACGCATGATAGATTTGATAGCTACTCTAAAAGTCACTAGGACGGATTATTTTATAATCTCAATGATAAAAGTTGATTGTTTACACTCACTGTTTATCTATAGGAGAATCATATTATGAATCACATACCTAGTAGCATAGTGTTAGAAAATATGGTATGAGTACCAGATGTACCATATATGAACACACTTATTATAGAGATTGAGAATAATATATGAATTCCCTATTGATGCGTCAGTATCTTCTAGTACACAGATTCCTGCATCGGTTCGTTGAGGTAGTGGGAGGATTATCATCCAATCCGATAGAATCATGTTTTTAGGTGAGACCATTATGGACATCCCTGTTAAACATGAGTTGGACCCAGTAAGCTACACGGAAGCGTGAACCGATATGGATACAGATCGTTTTGGCGAGTTACTATGAAATCAGAGTTGGAATCTATGTATTCTAATAAATTCTGGGATCTTGTAGAACATTCTAGTAGGGTGATACCTATGGAAGGCAAGTTAATCTACAAAAAGATACCAGAAGATTTCTTAGTGAATAAATCATGAGTGTACAAGGGAATGTCATTATTTTTCTGATTCTATATATATATATTGATGACATCCTACTCATTTAGAATGATGTCATCAATTAAGAGGTAGTTGTTCAATTACTTTTAAATGAAGGATTTTCAAGATGTAAGCTATATTCCTAGGATCAAGCTTTTGCAAAATCAGGTTAAAAGGAAAATAGGCTTATCTTAATAATCCTACATTGATAAAGTTTTGACCAGGTTTGGTATGCAAAACTCAAAGAATGAGTTTTTGTTTTATTGATATGGATTGCTCTTTCTAGTAAGTAGTTTTCCAAGACTATCAGAGGAGATTGAGCAAATGAGACTGGAACTGTATGCTTTGGCATATGGGAGTCTCATATATGCCATGGTCTATACCAAATAGGACATCCACTACATTATAGGGATAGTCAGAAGATATCAGTCCAATCCTGGACTTGATAACTGGTCTGTTGTGAAAAATATTATTAAGTACCTAAGGAGAACCAATGATATCATACTCATTTGTGGATGTGATGATATGGTCCTAGTCAGGCATGCTAGTTCTGATTTTCAATCAGAAATAGATACTATGAGGTTCATGACTTAGTGTATGTTCACTCAATGGAAGGGAAATCAGTTAGTAGATTGTTTAAGCAGATTTCAACTACTGACTTAAACCTGCAGGTGGAGTACATTGCAGGCTTAAAGGTGGCAATGGAAGCTTTTTTGGTTTGATCTCACTGATTTAGAGGTTGTGCAGCATACTACCCTACCTATCGAGCTATATTGCGATAATAGTGTAGGAGTAGTCCAAACCAATGACCCAAGGTTCCATAGAGGAACAAGATACACTGGGAGGAAGTATCATGTTCTACATGATATTGTCCGGCAAGAAAATGTACTCGTGGCTGGAGCATTGCATTGGAACACAACTTTGTTGATCTATTAATAAGGGTGTCATTGATCAATAATTTTGATCGTCATTTGGATAACATTAGAGTTAGATGCAATTTGAATTGGCAATGAGGGCAAGTCGGAGCTGTTGGGATTTATATGCCCTAGCATAACAAATTCCTCTCTGGATTAATGTGACATAAATTCCTGACGTTTCTGAAATATTTATACTTTATACAATTGGTGAATTCAATGTATTATGTTCATTATAGAATTGATAGTGTCCACTTGATTACAAGAGATATTTATATATGTATGTGATGGCGATCAATACATGAATATAAATAGGAATCATAAATGATTCATAGTCGGTAATTGTGAATGGACTCATAATTAATTAAAATTTGAACTGGATTTGCGTTAGGTTGAGATAGATTGCGAGAGTCGTCTTATGCAATTGCTCCCTTTCACCATCTTGACATTTGACTCTTAAGCATAAGAAAAGTATAGACTCTTTTATTAATTAATAATTACTTTGATTTGTTTGACGGATTCTTTGGGATCCTTAGACCGACACTTTGGGTAGTTATGTAATTAATAGTTAGAGGGTTATATTTTCATTATTTGCATCATTGCTACTTGTATTTATTTTGTATTGATTATGGTTGATCACAAAGTAAATTCGAAGGCCGTCGTGTGTTTTTAGACAAAATGATTTATTATATATTTATTTATTTAAATTATTATTTTTGTCAAACAAATGTTTTATTGTGATCGAGTCAGAAATAATCAATGGTACCAAAATAAATATATTAATTAAATAATCGGATTGATGGCTTTATTTATCCAATAACTAATTATGCATAGAGGGGTCAAAGTGTAATATTGACTTAGAGGTTATTTATTATTTAATTAGAGTTCAATTAATTTCTTTTAGTGGAGTAGAAATTAATTTATGAATTAATTGAATTGGGTCCATGGACCGGGCCAATTATTAATTCATTATAGCCAATAAAATAATAAGCCCAAAGGATTCTCACTCATAGCCCAACTTGATATTGGAATCCTATTAGATTTGAGACTTGTATATTAGAGATTGAGAAGGAGTTATTGTTTCCTTTTCTTTATCTTTATGTTGCCTATATATATACATGGTCTATGTATAATTTAGAGGTGATTTTTATGAGAAGGAAAAAGGAATATATTTTCTCTCTCTAGAAAATTAGGGTTTATGTTCTCATCTAATGGAGGCTCCCACAAGCCTAGTTTTCCAAGGTCATTCATGGAGGCTTATGAGTGATTCCTAAAGGCAAAACAATTACCAAAGAGATGGAGATCCAAGGAGAAGGCAACTTGCTAAGGGATCTACAATAAGTGAGAACATTCACTTTAGAGGAAAGATTTAAAGGTTTACTCAGACCTTTGATGTAAGTATTCAATCTGTTATTTGAATGATACATCATATTTTATTTTTGCATAAAACTTGTCTCTATGTGATGAATCAAGATCTATGAATCAAAATCCCTCAAAAAGTTTTTAAAACTAGCACATTTCCCAACACATCTCATATATAGACACACACACACACACACACACACACACACTCTTGTTTTGTTTGGTAGATGGAGATGCACCCGGGATGGAGGAACGATAAGATGCTGGAGGCTTGCAAGGAGAGGGGCATCCATGTCACAATAAGATGAAACATACTCTGTTTTTCATCAATAATTATATATGTATGTAATTATTTTGATGAAATGGGTAGCTCTAGTCGCACTTCCCACCACCAAACCTAGGCTAATCATCTGGTATTTTATGGTATAAAAATCATATATTAGCACAGTTGTGTTACTCTTATTGTGTAATTCATATTTTCAGGCATATTCACCCTTAGGTTCGCAAGGTGGACGAGATCTGATCCATGATCCGACGGTGCAGAGGATAGCACGGAAGCTGAACAAGAGCCCTGACCAAGTGCTTATTAAGTGGGCTCTCCAGGGAAGAACAAGTGTGATCCCCAAATCAAGCAACCCCGATAGGATAAAAGAGAACATTAATGTGTTTGGGTGGGAAATTCCAGAGCAAGACTTCCAAATTCTTAGCAACTTCGCAGATCAGGTATTACTGAACAGATGATGTGTGTGTGTGTGTGTGTGTGTGTGTGTGTGTGTATGTGTGATATAGTAGTAATGGCATTTCATGGATGTCATTAATTTATTTGTATGGGTGCAGAAACGGGTGGTGGATGGTGAAAGTTTCTTTGTGAACAAAACTGATGGGCCTTTTAGGAGCGTGGAAGACCTCTGGCCCTCTGGGACAATGAAGACTAATAATAAACGATGTGCCTATATATGGTTTTAAAATAAAATGGGTGTATGTAGTTGGACTTTAGATATGATTAGAGTAGACTGTAAATTAAGGTAATAGTCATCTGATCCTGTAACTATATAGGACCATGTTTGTGCAAGTGTGTTTGTAATGTTTATGTTGGGAAACGTGCAAGTTTTAAAAACTTTTCGAGTGAATTTGATTCATAGATCTTGATTCATCACATAGAGACAAGTTTTATGCAAAAATAAAATATGATGTAGCATTCAATTAACAGATTGAATATTTACATCAAAGGTCTGAGTAAACTTTCAAATCTTTCCTCTAAAGTGAATGTTCTCGCTTGTTGTAGATCCGTTAGTAAGATGCCTTCTCCTTGGATCTCCATCTTCTTGGTTATTATTTTGCCTTTAGGAATCACTCATAAGCCTCCATGAATGACCTTGGAAAATTAGGCTTGTGGGAGCCTCTATTAGATGAGAACATTAACCCTAATTTTCTAGAGAGAGAAAATAGATTCCTTTTTCATTCTTCAAAAAATCACCCCTAAAATATAAATAGACCATGTATATTTATAGGCAACATAAAGATAAAAAAAATGAAACAATAAATCCTTCTCAATCTCTAATTCATATGTCTCAAATCTAATATGATTCCAATATCAAGTTGGGTTATGAGTGAGAATCCTTTAGGCTTATTATTTTATTGGTTACAATGAATTAATAATTGCTCGGTACATGGACTCAATTCAATTAATTCATAAATTAATTTCTTCTCCACTAAAAGAAATTAATTGAACTCCAATTAAATAATAAATAACTTCTAAGTCAATGTTGCATTTTGACCTCTATGCATAATTAGTTATCGGATAAATAAAGCCATCAATTCGACTACTTAATTAATATATTTATTTTGGTACTTTAATTATTTCTGACTCGATCACAATAAAACATTTGTCTGACAAAAATACTAATTTAAATATATAAATATATAATAAATCATTTTGTCTAAAAACACACGAAGGCTTTCGAATTTACATTGTGATCAACCATAATCAATACAAAATAAATACAAGTAGCAATGATGTAAATATTGAAAATATAACCCTCTAACTATTAATTACATAACTACCCAAAGTGTCGGTTTAAGAATCCCGAAGTATCCGCCGAACAAATCAAAATAATTATTAATTAATAAAAGAGTCTATACTTTTTTCATGCTTAAGAGTCAAATGTAATGACAGTGATAGAGAGCAATTGCATACGATGACTCTCGCAATATATCTCAACCTAGCGCGGATCCAGTTCAAGTCTTAATTAATTATGAGTTCATCCATAATTACTGACTATGAACAATTTATGATTACTATTTATATTCATGTCTTGTAATCAAGTGGACACTTTCAATTCTATAATGAATCGAAACATAATACATTGTATAAAGCATAAATATTTCAGAAACGTCAGAAACATATGTCACTATAATCCAAATGGGAATTTGCTATACTAGGGCATATAAATCCCAACAGTTTATGCATAGATGACATGTAGCATGTAATAAACCATGTCACTTCTGTGACTGTATATAGTTATTAAAAGTCTTCTGGCATACAAGCACGGTAAGCACCATGTTGTACCGTTGAGATTCCAACTCTTCAAACACATATTAAGCGCGCGAATAGTGATTGATCTTGAGCACGGGAGATGGATCAATTAGACCAGCTCAATGTCCAACTGCAAAAACTTTAATAGCAACAACTTAAACATATATGATGCCCAAGATGCTTGATCTAAATTGTACTCAAAATGGTTATATATCACCGTTGTAATTATGTTAACAAAGCTCTCTCAAGTGATATTATTAAGTTGTTTTCTATCTTGTCGTGTTAAAATTGCATAAATGCACGTTTGGTTACCCTGGACCTTGGAGTCTTGGACTGAGGCTAAGGTTGTGTGCATAGTGGGTTCACAATATTTTATGATATAAGAAAGAACCTCTGAGAATAATTGTGTAGAGCATGCCTAAGAACTTGAAATGAACCCCCAACATCAATTAGTTATTCCTTAGATATTCTCCGTTCACTTTGATTATGGTTATAATTATCCTTATTATCCTTATTATTATTATTATTTTTAAATGGCACCTAATTAGCCGGTTCAAGCTTCCAATTTGTTACACCTAATTTCATTAACTAGACAAGTTCGGTCTAATCTTTAGGGTGAATTATTATTATTATTATTATTATTATTCCAAAAAGTTTGAAGCAACTATGTCTCTTGTGATGTTGCATGTAAATTATTGTTTCATTTCTCTGCAGCTCGTCCTCTACGGCAAACCAAGTATTCGATCCTCTTTGCTTAAGGAGAAGAGTCTCAAAATGCATTCTTCGATGCCTCGTGGCCTTCAAGGCTTTCCACAAACTCACAGAGAGGCCCCAGTTTGGCCACTCGAACTGATCTCATCTCAGACCCCTTTCAAATGCCTAATAAGGATAGGTTTACTGGGACTCTACCATTGATTGTGTGTTTATTTATTTATTTTTCCAAAAAGTTTGAAGTAACTATGCTTCTTGTGATTTCGCATGTAAATTATTGTTTTTTTTTTTTTTTTTTTTTCTAAAAGTTTGAATTAACTATGCCTTTTGTGATTAGGGGTGGCAAAAATCTCAACCCGGTGAGGAACCGCCCCGCCCCCGCCCCATTTAAAGCGGGTTTGGAGAACCGTTTACTTAAATGGGGTAGGGATGGGGTTAAAAAAAAAAAAAAAAAACCCGGTTGGTTGCAGGGCGGGGGACTAAGATCCCCGACCCAAACCCGTCCCGCAACCGCCCCATTTAATATGTTAAATTACTAATTTACCCACCTATGTTAATATATTTACCAAATTAACCTTCACTATATATATATATATATATATATATATATATATATATATATATATATCTATCTAATGGAAACCCTACACTTCATCACTTCCATTTTGTTATTGAGGAGGCACTCGGCAGCCGTGCAACTCTAAGCTCTCTCTCAAACCCATCATTGAATATATGGGTTTTGACCTTCTGATTCTTGTAGATTTTGTAGTTTGCAGTTGCAGAGAGAGAGAGAGAGAGGGAGTAAGTTTAGAGTTGAGAACGAGAATAGAGATGGAGGCGATTGGGGAGGCTGAAATATATGGGTTTTGACCTTCTGATTCTTGTAGATTTTGTAGCTTGCAGTTGCAGAGAGAGAGACACAGAGGGCAAGTTCAGAGTTGAGAACGAGAATAGAGATGGAGGCGATTGGGGAGGTTGAAATATATGGGTTTTGACCTTCTGATTCTTGTAGATTTTGTAGTTTGCAGTTGCAGAGAGAGATAGGGCAAGTTCAGAGTTGAGAACGAGAATAGAGATAGAGGCAATTGGGAAGGCTGAAATATATGGGTCTTGACCTTCTGATTCTTGTAGATTTTGTAGTTTGCAGTTGCAGAGAGAGAGAGCAAGAGAAAGGGCAAGTTCAGAGTTGGGTTTTGACCTTTTAATTCTTGTAGATTTTGTAGTTTGCAATTGGAGAGAGAGAGAGAGAGAGGGGAGTTGAGAATGAGAATAAAGATGGAAGCCATTGGGAAGGCTGAAATGATTTGCCCTAATCGGTTATGGGGCGGGGGCGGGGCAAGTGGGGATGGGGCGGGGGCGGTTACGAAGATTAGAGGGAAAAAATGAACTGGTTATGGGGCGGTTTTGGGGTACTAAAATTAAACGGGGCGGGGATGGGGAATGGGAAACCTGTCCCAAACTGCCCCATTGCCATCCCTACTTGTGATGTCGCATATAAATTATTGTTTCATTTTTCTTTGTGTTTTTTATTTATTTTTTATGTTAATTTTCAATCACACAATACTAGTTTATCGCTCAAAACAAAAAATTTGTTGGTTCTGAAAGATCGAATTATGATACAAAGATTACTAAAAAAAATAATAAATAGAAAGTAAAAATAGAAAGTATATTAATACTAAAAACGTGTCATTACAAGTTCCTACATCATTAAGACCACAGTGTAACAGACAACTTTCTGCGTGTTAATATTATTTAGGATATGTTGTACTACGTACAAACTATTCTTGGATATATACGACGTATAAATATAGTCATTTCTCTCAACTCCAACTTATACACATTTTCAAAATTTTATAGTTAGAAATGAAACTCCAACCTATATGTAATGGGATTCTTTGTAAGTTAAAGAATATATATATATATATATATATATATTACCTAAATATCTATCTAAATATCTAGGTATTTACATATTTTACAAAATTTCCTACTATTCTAGAATTACCAACTTCTACAAATTAATTCTTCAATGTTCTAAAATTTTGACATATTTACAAAAAAAATTAGTGACATTTTAATTTTAGTGACATCGGCCAAATATCATATTAAATCACTTCTCAAAAATTACTATTAGATATATTAAAATTTTTGTCCATCTTTTAACTTACACCCAAAACTTAAAAAGACATTGTTGTCTCTTTGACTTTGAATTGATGATTTTTTTATTTATAAAATGACTTAAGTACCCCTACCAAAATATCCATTAAAATATATGTGTACATATATAAAAGTTTACAAGAAATTCAACAAAATCCCTTCTTCCACTCCTCTCTCTAGAAATTCAACAAAATATATCAACAAAATATATCTATTAGATCATTTCTCGATGTGACATCCATAATAAGATTGGGGGTGGAAAGGATGGTAAGTAACAGAATGAAGCAATCGTCCAAAGAGTTCCAATGCCCGAATTGAGGTCTTGGCTCAAACAAAATATTTTTTCTTAATATAACAAAGTGTTCGGAAGAAATGGCTACGCATATGCTCTTGTCATACGGAATTATGGATTACCAAAAAAATGCTTCTATAAACCTTGATTGGATTCACTTCCTGATTATTTATTTATTTATTACCAAAAAAAATGCTTCTATAAACCTTGATTGGATTCACTTCCTGATTATTTATTTATTTATTTTGCAACTGTAAGTGTTGATCTGGAAATTCATTGGCCTTGGATCCTTGCTTGTCCTTGCATGGACTTCAAAGATCATTCAGTTTTTTTTTCCCTTTTTTGTAAAGAATCCTATTTATGGTTTATATCTTTAATTTTTTTTTCCACGTGCGTATTTGCATTCTCTCTAAAAATTTTATTATTATTATTAATTTTTTTTTTTCTGTTTGCCTTGTAAATTGCTTTGATATGGGAAGTAACATCCGTAAAGCATTGTGACAGAATAATAAGAAACCCACATTCTCTGGAAAATGGAGATTAAAGCACACAAACAAGCATTTTAATTAACCAATTCCAAGCATTTTAAAAAGTGACGGAAAACGAAGCTCTTGTTGGGTCTCCGCGAGTATCTGGATTAGGCTTCTTAAAGCTCCCTGTAGAATGAAAACGAAGGTGGGGGAGGGACGTAGCGGCTTTTGTAACACACCATAGATATTTTGTTTTTAAGATTCTGTTAGAAATTAAACTTGATTATATTTTTAAATGTCTGTGAAAGTTATGAATGTTTTTTATTTGATGTTTAATTTTATGTTTATGTGAGTCTTTTATTGGAGTTAGTGGGGAGAAAAGTTGTATGAGTAGAATAATAAGATGAATTAATAGAAGTGAAATAATTTTCCAAGTATTCCTCCATATCCTATTCTCTTCCTAAATATTATAGTGTTGTGTGTGTATTTAGGCCACTATTTACAACAAAGTGGTATCAGAGAAAAAGCCAACAAAGAGGTATCAAATCTAGTTTGTGAGAGAGAGAAGAAATGGCAAACAATTCGGTTCCATTTCAAATGTCTCGATTCACCAAAGATAACAATGAAAATTGGTGTATACGTATGAAGGCAATTTTGGGAGCACAAGATGTGTGGGAAGTTGTTTCCAAAGGTTATGATAAGCTAGAAGATGAGACAACTTTGTCTCAAGTCGAAAAAGATGTTTTACAAGCCATGAAAAAGAAGGACCAAAAGGCGGTGATGACCATCTATCAATGTTTAGATGATGGAATGCTACAACGAGTTCCTAGTGAAGAAAATGCAAAGCAACTATAGGAGATTCTTCAAAATTCCTTCCAAGGAGTTGATAAAGTGATAAAGGTTCGCTTCCAAACGTTACGGGGTGAATTTGAAGCATTGCATGTGAAGGAATCTGAATCAATTTCAGATTATTTTTCGAGGGTCCTAGCTATTGTAAATCAACAAAGGAGATATGGCGAAACCACCATGACTGATTCAAGGGTCGTTGAAAAGATCATTCGGTCGTTGGATTCCAAATTCAACTACATTGTTGTAGCCATTGAAGAGTTAAAGGATTTGGATTCCATGACTGTTGATCAACTCATGGGTTCGTTGCAAGCTCATGAAGAAAAGGTGGTGAAGAGACAAGAAGCTTTGGAGCAAGTACTACAAACAAAGTTTTCGTTGAACGAAAAAGACGAAAAACATAGAGGAAATTAAAGGGGCCGAGGATATGGAAATGCACGTGGCCGTGGAAGAAGAGAAAGAAGCGGTCAACACATAACAAACAATGAAGAAAAAATCCACAACTCACAACAAATAAGAGGTCGTGGTAGAGGAAATTACTCAAGGTCATATGGAAGGAGGTATGATAAGTCTCAAATTCAATGTTACAATTGTCAAAAGTATGGTCATTATGCTTCGGAATGTAAAAATGTTGCTAATGATGTTAAAGAAAAGGCTAATTTTGTTAATGAAGAAGTAGAGTTAACTTTGTTGTTGGCATACAAAGGTGAAATGAGTGATCAAGAAGATGTGTGGTATCTTGACACCAGTGCTAGCAGCCATATGTGGGGTAGCAAAGAGAAGTTCGTTGATATTGATGAATTAATAAATGGTAAGGTGACATTTGGAGACTTATCACAAATTTCGGTAAGTGGGAAAGGTAAAATATTGATTCGTTTCAGGAATGAGCATCATCAATTTATCTCTAATGTTTATTATGTGCCTAACATGAAGAACAATATTTTGAGTTTGGGACAACTCTTAGAAAAATGCTACAATATTTTCATGAAGGATACAATCTTTCGATAAGAGATCCATTGGGTAATTTGATTGCCAAGGTTCCAATGACAAAGAACCGGATGTTTTTGCTAAACATTCAAGCTGACGAGGCTAAATGTTTGAAGGCTTGTTTTAATGATTTAACTTGGCTTTGGCACTTGAGACTTGGGCACTTGAATTTTGGAGGATTAGAGTTGTTGGCCAAAAAGAAGATGGTGAAGGGATTGCCTTTCATTAATAATCCAAATCAATTATGTGAATGATGTCTCGTTGGAAAGCAATCAAGGAAAAGTTTTCCTAAAGAAACTACCACAAGAGCTATAGCGCCACTACAACTTATTCATTCGGATGTTTGTGGTCCAATTTCTCCATCATCATTTGGTAAGAATAATTATTTTTTATTATTCACTGACGATTTTAGCTGAAAAATATGGGTGTATTTTCTTAAACAAAAATCGGAGGTGTATGGAATTTTTAAGAAATTTAAAGCACTTTTGAAAAACAAAGTGGCTATGATGTAAAGGCTCTTTGATCCGATAAAGGTGGTGAATTCACATCAAATAATTTCCAAAAATTTTGTGAAGAAAATGGAATTCACCATCCTTTAATGGTTCTAAGATCACCCCAACAAAATACAGTTGCAGAAAGGAAGAACAGAACCATTCCCAATATGGCTTGAAGCATGTTGAAAAATAAGGAAATGCTTAAAGAATTTTGGGCTGAAGCGGTTGATTGTGCGGTGTACTTGTCCAACCGGTGTCCTACTAGAAGTGTGCAAAACAAAACACCACAAGAAACATGGAGCGGAAGAAAGCCAAGTGTCTTTCATTTGCGGGTTTTTGGGAGCATTGCCCATGTGCACGTGCCAGATGAAAGGAGAACCAAGTTAGATAACAAAAGTGAAAAAATGGTATTCATTGGCTATGATGCAAGTTCCAAAGGCTACAAGTTGTACAATCCAAGCAATGGGAATATTGTCATTAGTAGAGATGTTGAATTCGAAGAGGGAGCCACATTGGATTGTAACACTCCAAATGAAGATTATAATATTTTTCCAATTTCGGATGAGGAGTAAGAAAATGAAAGCATGGAGCAGCCCATTTCTCCACCAACATCACCTCCACCACCATCAATTCAAGATCAATCAACTCCATCATCATCAAGTTCAAGTGACACACCACCACTTCGCATGAGGAGTCTTCGTGACATATATGACGAAACGGATGAGGTAACGGAAAGGTTATATGATCATACACTTTTTTGTCTCTTTGCGGATTGTGAACCCGTAGGATTTGAAAAGGTGGCACATGACAAAAAAATGGAGAAATGCTATGGATGAAGAAATTAAATCCATAGAGAAGAATGATACATGGGGGCTTGGTACACTTGCAAAAGAGCAAAAGGCAATTTGTGTCAAATGGGTGTATAAAGCAAAGAAGAATGCAAATGGTGAAGTTGAAAAATATAAAGCAAGATTAGTCACCAAGGGGTACAACCAAAAGCCCGGAATTAACTATGATGAGGTATTTGCACCTGTAGCTCGTTTGGAAACAATTAGATTGTGAATTTCTTTGGTAGCCCAAAATAATTGGAGAATCCACCAAATGGATTTGAAATCGGTTTTTTTGAATGGGTTTATTGAAGAAGAGATGTATGTTCAACAACCCATAGGCTATGTTATAAAGGAGCAAGAAAACAAAGTCTTGATATTGAAGAAAGCTTTATATGGCTTGAAGCAAGCACCAAGGGCGTGGAATAAGCGAATTGACAAATATTTTCAAGATTATAATTTTTCAAAATGCCCATATGAACATACTCTTTACTCCAAATTAAGTGATAATGGAGATATATTTTTTGTTTTCTTATATGTAGATGATTTAATCTTCATAGGTAGCAATCCAAAAATGTTTGAAAATTTTAAGAAGGTTATGGCTCGAGAGTTTGAGATGACGGACATTGGCATCATGGCTTATTATCTTGGCATTGAGGTCAAGCAAATGAAGGATGGAATTTTCATTCACCAAGAAGGCTATGCTAAGGAAATTCTCAAGAAATTCAAGATGGAAGATTGTAAATTGGTGAACACGCCTATGGAAGTTGGAATTAAATTGTCAAGAGATAAAGATGGAGAGATAGTGGATCCAACATTTTTCAAAAGTCTTGTTGGAAGCTTGAGATACTTAACTTGCACAAAGCCGGACATATTATTTACGGTTAGGCTTGTTAGTAGACCCACCATAACTCATTTCAAAGTGGCTAAGAGGATTCTTCGTTACATCAAAGGTACCCTTGATTTTGGGTTATTCTATTCATTTTCTAATGATTTCAAACTTTTGGGTTATTGTGATAGCGATTGGGTCGAAGATTTGGATGATAGAAAAAGTACTTCGGGCTATTATTTTTTAATGGGAAATACTGCTTTTACATGGTGTTCAAAGAAGCAACCCATTGTCACCCTTCCAACTTGTGAAGCGAAATATGTTGCAGCCACTTCATGTGTTTGTTAAGCAATTTGGTTGAAGAATTTGTTGAAAAAATTACACATGCTACAAGAAGAGTCAACAGAGATTTTTGTGGACAACAAATCAGCAACTGCTTTGGCCAAGAATCCAGTGTTTCATGAACGAAGTAAGCATATTGATACAAGATTTCATTTCATTAGAGAATAGATAACCAAAAAGGAGGTGGAACTCAAGTTCATCAAGTCACAAGATCAAATTGCGGATATTTTCACCAAGCCCCTCAAGTTTGCAGAATTTCACAAGTTAAGGAGTTTGCTTGGAGTTGAAAAAAAATTAAGTTTAAGGAAGGGTGTTAGAAATTAAACTTGATTATATTTTTAAATGTCTTTGAAGGTTATGGATGTTGTTTATTTGATATTTAATTTTATGTTTATGCGAGTCTTTTATTGGAGTTAGTGGGGAGAAAAGTTGAATGAGTAGAAGAATAAGATGAATTAGTAGAAGTGAAATAATTTTCCAAGTATTGGTCATGTTAGTGGGTTACAACTAGTAATGGTCATGTTAGTGGGTTAATTGGAGTTTTGCCTACTAAATGATATGTTAGTGGTATGTTAATTTTCATTTACATTTATATTTTGAAACCTATATAAACCCATGTATTTTACTTATTTTCAATTAAGTGAAATAAAAGTATTTTTCCTCCATTTTTATTCTCTTCCAAAGAGTATAATGTTGTGTGTGTAACTAGGGCACTATTTCCAACAAAGTGGTATCAGAGATAGTTTGTGTGAGAGAGAAGAAATGGCAAACAATTCGGTTCCATTTCAAATGCCTCGATTCACCAAAGATAACTATGAAAATTGGTGTATCCATATGAAGGTAATTTTGGGAGCACAAGATGTGTGGGAAGTTGTTTCTAAAAGTTATGATGAGCCAGAAGATGAGGTAACTTTGTCTCAAGCCGAAAAAGATGTTTTACAAGCCATGAGAAAGAAGGACCAAAAGGTGGTGATGACCATCCATCATTGTTTGGATGATGGAATGCTACAAAAAGTTGCTAGTGCAGAAAATGCAAAACAACTATGGGAGATTCTTCAAAATTCCTTCTAAGGAGTTGATAAAGTGAAGAAGGTTCGCCTCCAAACGTTACAAGGTGAATTTGAAGCATTGCATATGAAGGAATCTGAATCATTTTTAGATTATTTTTCGAGGGTCCTGGCTATTGTAAATCAACTAAGGAGATATGGCGAAACCACCATGACTGATACAAGGGTCGTCGAAAAGATCATTCGGTCATTGGATTCCAAATTCAACTACATTATTGTAGCCATTGAAGAGTCAAAGGATTTGGATTCCATGACTGTTGATTAACTCATGGGTTCGTTGCAAGCTTATGAAAAAAAGGTGGTGAAGAAACAAGAAACTTTGGAGCAAGTGTTACAAATAAAGTTTTCGTTGAACGAAAAAAAAATTAAAAACATGGAAGAAAACAAAGGGGCCAAGGAAGTGGAAATGCATGTGGCCGAGGAAGAGGAAGATACCGTGGAAGAGGAGAAAGAAGTGGTCAACACATAACCAACAATGAAGAAAAAATTCATGACTCTTAAAAAATAAGAGGTCGTGGTAGAGGAAATTACTCAAGGTCATATGGAAAAAGGTATGATAAGTCTTAAATTCAATGTTATAATTGTCAAAAGTATGGTCATTATGCTTCAAAATGTATAGATGTTGCTAACGATGTTGAATAAAAGGTTAATTATGTTGATGAAAAAATGGAGCCTACTTTGTTGTTGGCATATAAAGGTGAAAGGAGTGAAGGAGATATGTGGTATCTTGACACCAGTGCTAGCAACCATATGTGTGGTAGTAACGAGAAGTTCGTTGATATTGATGAGTCAATAAATGACAAGGTGACATTTGGAGACTTATCACAAATTTCGGTAAGAGGGAAATGTAAAATATTGATTCGTTTGAGGAATGGGCATCATCAATTTATCTTTAATGTTTATTATGTGCCTAACATGAAAAACAATATTTTGAGTTTTGGACAACTCTTAGAAAAAGGCTACAATATTTTCATGAAGGATTGTAGTCTTTTGATAAGAGACCCATTGGGTAATTTGATTGCCAAGGTTCTAATGACAAAGAATCGGATGTTTTTGCTAAATATTCAAGCTGACGAGGCTAAATGTTTGAAGGCTTGTTTTAATGATTTAACTTGGCTTTAGCACTTGAGACTTGGGCACTTGAATTTTGTAGGATTAGAGTTCTTGGCCAAAAAGAAGATGGTGAAGTGATTGCCTTTCATTAACAATCCAAATCAATTATGTGAAGGATGTCTTGTTGGAAAGCAATCAAGGAAAATTTTTCCTAAAGAAGCTACCACAAGAGCTACGGCGCCACTACAACTTATCCATTCGGATGTTTGTGGTCCAATTTCTCCATCATCATTTGGTAAAAATAATTATTTTTTATTATTCACTAATGATTTTAGCTAAAAAATATGGGTGTATTTTCTAAAACAAAAATCAGAGGTGTATGGAATTTTTAAGAAATTTAAGGTACTTGTTGAAAACTAAGTGGTTATGATGTAAAAGCTCTCCGATCCGATAGAGGTGGTGAATTCACATCAAATAATTTAAAAAATTTTTGTGAAAAAAGTGGAATTCACCATCCTTTAACGGTTCCGAGATCGCCCCAACAAAATGGAGTTGTAGAAAGGAATAATATAACTATTCTCAATATGGCTCGAAACATGTTGAAAAGTAAGGAAATGCCTAAAGAATTTTAGGCTGGAGCGGTTGATTGTGCAGTGTACTTGTCCAACCGGTGTCCCGCTAGAAGTGTAATGACCCGGTCATTTCCTTTCTTTTCTTTTTCCTCAGAATTTCACGGATGAATTTTTTTCGTTGAAATTTCTTGTCTGAATTCAGTTTCTCGTCGCTTAGTGTCGTCTTGAGTGCTCGGAAATGGTTTCTGAGACTTTTTCCTTTGGTTTGACAACTTCCTTTGAGGATCGAGTCATTTCCATATTTTTTGTTTTCCGACACTATTCACTTTTCGTCCTTTTCCATGTTTTGTCATTTTCCCTATTCTGTCTTTTCCCCGTTTGTCACTTTGTTGGCGTAACCTAACTCCTTGTGTTCGGAGTTGGTTTTTGACTTCACGTATCTTCATTCTAAGTGGTTGCCACGAAATACGTATCTTTACTTTTGTAAGAAAGTACTCTGGTTACTCCCAGTGTCCATAGGGGTATGGATGCAAAGTTCTTTGGAATTATTTTCTTTTCTTGGGGTATTTTTCGTAAATATCTTTTGAAGATATTTTATTTCAATGGTTTTTAAGAAAATATTTTTGGAAAATATTTTCATTCTGGGGCATTAGTGCAGTTAACCCTTTTTGGAGCGGCCATTTTGTAATTAATGAAAGTTATCGTAAAATATTTCGTCTGGAGCCTGGATCCTCATACGAGATTCATTTTCACTTTTTGTTGACTCGTAAATTCTTGGAATTTCCTTTTGGTTGTTTTTCTTCAGTTTTAGGGTTTCTGGCCCCGGTTGGCGCCGAACTTGTTCAGGGCATATCTCTCTGTTCGGAACTCAGTTTTTGACGCCGTTTCTTCCGTTGTTCATATTTTCTCATTTTGAATCTTTTTCGTTCACGAAGTTTTGCCGTTTGAGTGCGTCTGCTCAAATTTTACTTTTCCGGACCCGACGGGACCTATTCGGGGCACTTTTAGGGGGACTTAAAATAAAAAAGTCATCTTCTCCCCACTTCATGCACGATCAGAACCTGTTATGGCAGCCCAATGGGGCTGCCACCCTTCTTCTTTCATTTGAACCTTCTTCCCTTTGTTAAAAAGTCGAAGTGCCTTCGCGTTTTGTGTTTGTTTTGACCACGCGCATCTTTCCCCCTTATTAGAACCCATTTTTCGCCAAATTTTGAGTTCGGGTTTGAAGTCAAGTTGTGATTTTGATGGGGCTTCTTGTGGGTTCATGTAGATCGTGTTGTCCCCGACAAAACCCTTCGGTATAGTCGGATTCGGAGCACTTTTTTTTCGGTGGGCTTTTGAGATTTTCATCTCAAATTGAGGTAGGGGATGTCTTAGGTTTATATTATTGTTGTATTGATTGTTTTATAAGCATATACAATTTGTAAGCATACCTTGTTCAACTTTTTAGAATTTAATTTATTTATTTTCTTTGTTTAGGATTTAATTCTAATGATGATATATAGTTTAGAATTAAATTGTGTCATGCTAGTAAATTAGGCCTTGGTAAGTTGTGTAACATATATTAAATTTGGAGCATTTGAGTAAGAATTGCAAAACTTATTTAATATTTATCTTTTGTGAAAGATTAATTCACATAGTTGTATCAAGTATGAAACCAACTTGTAATGTGATATTAATGTAGGCCTTGGTGAGTTCTTTAACATATATTAAATTGAGGACATTTGGATATGTTTGAAAATCTAGAGAAAAATTAATTAATGAGCTTAATTAATTTTATTTTAAGTGTGTTGGTCACTTAAATTGATATTGGAGGTAATAGGTTGATAATCCCTTGAAATGTAGTCTATTTAATCACCTTGTGAGCATGTTACTAATTTGATGTAGAATTAGTACTTGAGACCTCTTGAAATGGTAATTAGACTTAGCATGATATAGAATATCATTGACTTGCATAGCTTGTTTAGATATATCTTTTGTAGGTGTATAACTTGTTAGAATATTACAATTGTTTACCTTGGAAGTTACTTACCAAATTGGGACTTATTTAGTACTTGTGGCTTAGTGTGGTAATGTGGTTCAATTGTTGTAAAATATTCTTGTTTGGTGTATAAATTGCATATTGGAGGCTTGACATGTCATATGCTATCTAGACTTGAATTATAGGACATGGTTTGTGTGGATTCAACCTTATTTGTGCATGGAAGATGGTTTTATGCATTAGTGGATTTGGTATAAGTTTGGTCTAACTTATTAATTTTTGTATAAGTTTTGGATTTATTGATTTTGGAAAGCTTGTAAGGACATATTTCACGTGATAGCTAGGGTTTGGCTCTAGTGCGGAGATAAAAGTCTTCTAAGTCATAAGTGCACACTAGGTAATACCTTGTGGGTCGTAATTGCCTAGAATAACTTATGCATGTACGCATTAAGTGGTGCCTTGTGGGTCGTAATTACCTGGAAAGACTTGCTTGGTCTAGTGACCACATGTCCTAGTCTTTCTACTTTGATTTGGCATTTAATTTCAAGTTGTTAATCATGGATTACTTGTAACTTGAGAATTGGTGCTTGCCTATATATTTTGATCTCATTTAGTATACTTGAAACTGTATACTTGAACTTGTATCCTTATTGGTGTATCTAAACTCTATCTAGAGTATTTACGCTTAGTATGCTTGTCTTGTGTGTGCGAATTTCATTTTTGTATACTTGTGCCATGTATACTTGTCTTGTGCATATGTGTTTAGCTTAGTATACTTATGTTTATATACTTGATTTATGAGTACTCTATTCATATATCTTATACTTGTGTATGTATGCTAGATATTGCTTATCCCGTTTAACATGATTTAGTATACTTGTGAGCATGTGTACTTGAATGTCGTGTATTATGTTTTAATACGGTTTAGTGTATTTGAGCATGTATACTTGTATGCCGTAGTTCATTTCAATTGTATGAGTAGCTTAGGATGATCCCTGAGTCTCACTTTGACATAGACGTTAGGTGGCATGAGCCCCTCTAACATGTTTCACCTTAAGATGATAGAATTGTAAAATGCTAGGTCGATGCATGTTCATCTCCTACGAGCAACTTTATGTTACTCACCCACGTAGTAGGGACATTTTTTAGGTACCGGGATCAAGATTCGGGATTCACATCATGCTTGGATGATTTGTAGACTTGAAGTTCTCATTTCTTGTAAATGTTGGCTTGAAATACCATTTATAGCTTTATATGTCAAAATATGTAAATTTGATTCTATTTTTGTAATGTGTACATAAGTACACTCTTTAAAATGTATTTAACATGTACGAGATGAGGCCGGAAGCCAATGACATGTAGCTTGCTTTCTATGCACTTTCGTTTTCAAGGCTTAAT